TCCTCCAAGTTCAGCTATGTTGACACAAATTACATTTCCTTCTTCTGAAAAATATTGCTGAATGGAATAATATACCATTGTGTGTGTGTAATAAACATACCCCACATTTTCTTTAAAAATTCATTCATCCTTTGTGTCCTTTGCAGGTACATGGATGAATCTGGAAATCATCGTTCTCAGCAAACTGACACAAGAACAGAAAATCAAACACTGCATGTTCTTACTCATAGGCAGGTGTTGAACAATGAGAACACATGGACACAGGGAGGGGAGCATCACACACTGGGGTGTGTTGGAGGTGAATAGGGGAGGGAAAGTGGTGGGTAGGGAGGTTGGGGAGGGATAACATGGGGAGAAATGGTAAATATAGATGATAGGGGGATGGAGGCAGCAAACCACAATGCCATGTAGGTACCTATGCAACATTCCTGCATGTTCTGCACATGTACCCCAGAGCCTAAAGTGCAATAAAATATACATTTTAAAAAAAAGAAATTAAATCAACAATAACTTAAAAAAAAAAAAGAATGTGGTTACCCTTGCAGGAGGGGGCCTATCAACTCAGAGGGGCAAAAAGAACAATTGGGTGCTAGAAATGTTTGACATCTTGATGTGGGTAGTGTTAATGTGTACTTACACATATAAAAGTTCATCAAGCTGTTCATTTAAATTTTGTGCACACTGCTGTGAGTTATATCTCAATAAAAAATTAAAAAGGAACTTTTCTGACCATTAAAAAGTATTCATTCATCAGTGGACACGTAGGCTGTTTCTGTATCTTGGTTACTGTGAATCTTGCTGTCTCTTTGGCAGTCATTTCTGTACTCCCCGCCCCCAGAAGCAGCTTTACTGCACTCTAAAAATGTCTTAGGAAAATGATCAGAAGCAACTACTTTTCTTGGCATGTTCTCCAGTAAACACGATGATGGAAAACTTTAATTTCTGCCCTTCTTTAAACAGTACCATGGATTTTCAGTTGGGATTTTCTAGTTAGTTTGACAGCTCTACATTTCTACCAGGCTGAAGAAAATGTGTGTGTTGTGGGCTGTTGTGTTACTGTTACTGGTGGTGCTGTTGCTACTGCTGTGATTTTGTGGTCAAGTCTATGTTATAAAGGAAACCTGTTCTTTGTACAGCAGCAATAAATTCAACTTGAGCTCTGAACTCAAGCCTTTAGGTATGACTTTTTTATCACATGGAAATTCACATAAGAATTTTCAACCAGACTTCATCTTTTTGTTATTTCTAAAGCAAAAAGTACAGGAATATAATCTAAACGAATGGGAACAAACATTAAGTTAGACATTATTGGAGTGTTGTAAAAATATTTTTTTCAAAAGTGAAAAAATGTTTGCTTCAAAAGTGACCCTGATTTCCAGATTTTAAAGTTAGGAAATAAGACAGTAAAATCAATGATCAAATAGTCAACTATTTTAAAATCAGTATTTTTCTTAGTGACTTCCGTCAGACCATGCTCTGTTTAGTACTGAAACTCAGAGAAGTTCCAGAAATAGAGGGACAAAATCTAAGTGATCTGCTCAGGGGAAGCTCTAAGCTTCCTTCGGCTCGCTCAGTAAATCAGGGATGGGCTCAGAGAATGGCTTCACATTTCGCATCAGGAGATCCCAGTGTTTAGAGAGAATCCCAGATGAAATCCTTATTTCCCTGCCTCATTTCTGAAAAATTCTACCTGGGAACCGATTTGCTGTGACAAATAAAATGGGAGGAGTCTGGCTGAACACTTCGCGGATTTCCGAAAACAAAGCAAAATGCTGCTTTGACTAGGTCCAAATTTTCTGCAAGCTACCTTGTGAAACTGGTGAATTTGCAAGAATGAATTTTCATTCATTTAACTTCGGTGGAGCGTCTACTAGGATGCCTGTAGATGCCCATGGTGCTAATTGCTGGAGAAAATCACTTTGAAACAAAAACAAAAAACAAACAAACAAACGAAAAGCTTTCTGCCCCCAGCAAGGCGCCAGACACTGCCTACAAACTCAAGGAGTGCTTAAGAGGTGAATTAATGACAATCCCTCCCATCCTCAAGAGACAGACTTTCAGCCTTCAAACTGCTCAGGGCTACACTAGCGCCTTCTGGACGCAGCTTCTGGTTAGCCCCCACGGCACCAGCCTTTCTTTGATTTGTAGCTGCCAAAGATTTGATAGTGGGGAGTGCGTGTCTATTCTGAGGGCTGAAGACACACGCGACAGTCAGCAGTAGAATTGCGATCCCGCAAAGTGACATGACCACAAAATCTGCGTCTACAGTCTTCCATTTTGGGGTCACCGTGGCAAGGGCGAAAGCTATGAGCTCTCTGTGTAGGAAAACACATCACAGACACACACAGAAACGGTTTCAAGAGGACACATACTTTGAGTTCTGGTGTACATGTGCAGATCTTGCAGGATTGTTACATAGGTATATGGTGGTGTGCTGTCTCCATCCCCTACCCCCCCACTCCCGTGACCTACATTAGGTATCTCTCCTGTTATCCCTCCCCAACCTCCCCATCCCCTGCTATCGCTCCCCTAGTCCTCCACCCCCCAGCAGACCCCAGTGTGTGATGTTCCCCTCCCTTTATGTTAGAAACCTCTAGTTTTGTAAAAAGTCATTTCCGCTGAAGTATGTGGTAGCTGAGCGCAAACACTCTCCTGCTACAGCCCCGGTGGCAGCGGCCCAAGCACTACACCCCACTTAGTCCTCGCACTGTGGCCTTCGCAACTCTTCACACAGCTCTGCACGGAAAACCCAGGCCAGGGCTTCGAGCCAAACTGCTGAAAACTCCAAAGCTCCAGACTGGGTCTTAGCAGGGGGTATCTTCCTTCAGGATCCAGGGCTCACAGTACCCAAGATCCGCAGTCCCGGGCCCTGCTCCACAAGCAGCTCGCGTTTCGGCGCTGTGCGCCTGAAGCGCACGGGTGAGCCCCAGTTCCAATCCTGGATCCTGTGGCCGCCCTGCCGGCGGGGCCTGAGGAGAGCGAGTCTCAGACAAGCCGCCCCCAGCCCCAGGTGTTATTCCTTCGCAGTAGTTAAGAAGGAAGAGATTCAATTAAGGGCATCTTGGAAGTTAGGCGTTGCCGCTGCCTCCTTGACTACGGAGGCCACCAACCCCCGAGGGGAAAAAGATGTACCGCGAGACAGGGGTGTGGTCCTAGGAAATGTCGAAGCTTCTGGGGATTGAGGACGATGGTGCGGACTCGACCCGGGTACCTGGAGTTCCGTGACTCGCGCCACTCACCGTACACTTAAGGGCTAATTTCTGCTCTGCTTCAAAGAACCTCAAGGGTCCTTGCCTCCCCCCACAGCCCTGGGATGCCGCTACTGCGCTCACCGCACAGGCGGCGCCCGGACCAGCTGCTGCAGATCGCGCGCTGCGCGCTCACACCAGGAGATCTTGGGGACGCTGAAAAGCTTCGTTCTCGCCACTCTGGACGCTGTGGGAAGGTGCCACAGTCCCCACCACTGCCGCTCGGGGCGCGCCCGGAGCTGTACGCTCAGGCGGAGTGGTTGAAACCCGGTTGTGCGGGGTGTGAGAGTTGTCGAGGTCACCTGTAATTGGGTGTGACGCTCGTGAGTGTGTAGGTTTGATCCAAGCAGGTCATCGTCGTGCGCTTGTGTGAATGCGACTGCCCAAGAGACTCGGAAGCAGGCTTGGGACACGTTTGAATGAACCCCTAAGGATACTCTTGTGCGCCATCATCTGTGTGTCTGTGTGTGTGTGTGTGTGTGTGTGTGTGTGGTGTGTGTGGTGTGGTGTGTGTGTGTGTGTGTGTGTGTGTGTGATTCAGAGTGGCACATCTTGGTAGACAGTAATGGGTTTGCTTGTGTGTAAACGAGTGTGAGCGAAAGTGAGTGTGTGTGTGAACCTCAGGGTTTAGGCAGGGACCCTACAGCACTGTCAAGTCTGCCTGCTCTTTAGCGGAGGACTGAAGTGGGGTGGGGCGGGGGCGAGGGGTGCAGAGCCGGAACAGAATGTCGCTGGGACATCTTGGCAAACGGCAGCCGGAAGCAAAGAGGCAGCTGTACAAACGGCTCAGGCAGGTGATGGATGGAAGGGTAGGAAGGGGGAGGGCCAGAGGTCTGGATGGAGGCTTATGCACCTGTCCCTTGCAACTCACCCCTCAGGCCCAGCTAGTCATTGGCTCCCTCCTCAGACATGTAATGGATCTGAACAGTACCCCGGTAGAGCCCACTGTGATTTCAGACAGTCCGGAGAGATGAGGATTCGCAAAGTATCCATGGAGATCTTAGGGAATCCCTTAAGCGTACCAGGAAACTCTTTTAGATCCCTGCCTAGCTGGGGCCCAGGCACTGGGCTATTTCTCACAACATTCCTTCAAAATGAGGCTGTGGTCTCCATTCAAAGATGAGTGCATAAAGCCTATGTGAAGTTACTTGCCCATGATCACACAATCCGGAATTGGCTCAACTGGAATTGAATTCCTAACAGACTTCTTGGTCTCAGCTCCATCTCTTGTTTCCCACGAGCCCTGGGCCTCTGTGGGTGATATCAGCTTCTGGAGTCAGCCTGGTTGGGTCCAAACTCCACCCTTAGGGGTATTAACTTTCAAGTCTCACTTGGGCAGGGGTCTGGGGTCAGAGTTGGGAGAGTCTACAATCCTGGACCCTTCCCGCCAAATCACACAACCAGGGGTGGAGTGGGTCGCGAGTTCAAAACCAAGCCCGACAGAGAGATGAAATTCACCATGACGTCAAACTGCCCTCAAATTCCCGCTCACTTTAAGAGCGTTTCTCGTTGATGCCCCGCCATCCCCACCCTTTCCGCCTCCCTCCCGCCCCCCATTTCCATCAATGACCTCAATGCAAATACAAGTGGGATTGTCCTGCTGGATCCCACAGGTTCTGGAAGCACGGGGGTGACGCAACCCAACTTGGGCAAAGGACCCCTCCGCCCATTGGTTGCAGTGTACACTGGCGGAACCCTCCCGATCTACAGCGATGGGAATAAGAGCGGTCGCTGGCGCTGGGAGGCATCAGAGCCACTGCTCAGCCCAAGTGTCGCCACCGCTTCCACAGGGCTCTGACTGGACGCCGCCGCCGCCGCTGCCTCCGATCCAAGCCACCTCCCTCCAGGTGAGCCCCGAGATTCTAGCTCAGGTGTTTATCTTTCTCTCTCCCTCTCCCTCCATTAGCCAATTTCTCTCTCTCTCCCCTGCTTTCTCTCTCTCTCTCCATTAGTCTCTTCATCAGACAGTCTCTGTTAGTCTGCGATTTCTACCAGGCTCCTACCCTAGGTAGTATCGGACACTCTCAGTCCCCTGGTTCGCTCTTCCTGCTCGGCTGCGGACTCCAGCCTTATTCTCTCCCCCTGCACACAGGCTTGGGCCAGTCTTGGGACACTCAGGCTCCCCAGGGACCGCGCACAGAGCAGGACGTAAGAGTAACTTTCCGCAGACGGTGCGTTCAGGGATCGCGTCTGGCGCCTAGCAGTCCCAGGGAAATTGGTTCAGAACCTGGAACAGCGCGAACGGGTGACAAAGCGCACAACGACTGAGGGACAAGCAGCCCTAAACTGCAAGCCCGTCACAGGCTCCTGGGAGCAAAGAGAGAAAGTCTTGGGTACCAATTAAATTTGGTTACTGCAGGGCACTGAGGTGCCAGCAGGTGGAGCGGCGGAGCGGCTGAGCACTAAGGGATTCTTCTATTTCTCAGATTCCAATAGCAGAGATAATCCCTCTCGACAGATCTCCCCTCTCTCTCCCACCCAGGTGTATGCAAACGCCCCACAAGAGGACAGCTCTGGGTTTCCTTACGAGAGCAGCTTCTGTGACAGGGGCCTGGGAGTGTGTCCTCCACAGAGACCTGGCTAATAGGTCTATATGCATGTGTGTCGCTTTGGGGAAAAGGGCAGGACTGAGATCTCTCCCATTTAGTTCTCACGCTAGGGTTGCTCCTCCAGCTCTGTCAAACTGTGCATGCCACAGGCCCATTGAACCTCCCAGGAGTCCACTGTGCTGATGAGGAAACAAAGAATAAAAGAAATATCATGACCAGTCTGAAGCCACAAAGCCAGGGCGATAGAGGCAAGATAGAAAAGCAGGATAGGAGCCAAGGTCTGTGGGCTCCTAGAACTTTGAACTGGCACAGGTGGTTTATTTCATTCTTCCCTTGCAGAGAGGTGTCATGGGCTTCCAAAAGTTCTCCCCCTTCTTGGCTCTCGGCATCTTGGTGCTGTTCCAGGCAGGCAGCCTTCAGGCAGCACCATTCAGGTAAGACAGCCTGAAGCCAGAAGCGCAATGGAATCAGAGAATTCCATGCCTCTTAAGTGTGATGTGCTGAATGCTTAAAAACCAACAGGGGGCCAGGGTAATATATGTACTCATGCACATACATATTTTTTTCTGATATAAAGATGTGCGTTACACAATTTATAAGTAGTAATAAATATTTAGACAATACTCTTTATTATAAATTTCATATAGCCCATTGAGTCTCACAAAATGCTTTTGTTGCTTTTTTCCAAACTTTTATGTGTAGCCATTCTATTTACCCTATTCAGCCATGATTTGAGAAATGAATTGCATACTATTCTGTTAAATAGTTTGCCAATAAATTTGTTATTGTTAAATCTGATATTTTACCTGTTGCTCTATTTCTCACCCACATATAAATTTATTAAACTAAAACTGTTTTCAGGTTCAGCACTAATGGTTAAGTTTTAGCATTTAATTTTTAATAATAGCTGCACTCAGCTTTGCCAAGTTCTTGAAAATTTAACCATCAGCTTTGACAAGTCTATAGAAACTAGCTCCAGCATACCACTGCTTGGAGGCCACTCCAGTGCCTGGGTCCTGGGGAGGACACTGGCCTCGTGCCCTGTTCCCTGGAACTCCCAGTGGACACATCCTCAGGGGAAGAAGCAAAGACCAGGAAGCCTGGCTGCTCATCCTGGGGAGGTGGGCTCACAGCCTGCACTGTTTGCTTCCCTAGTTCCGCCCTGGACAGAAGCCCAGACCTAGCCACACTCAGTGAGGAGAAAGGGCGCCTCCTGCTGGCTGCACTGCAGGACTATGTGCAGATGAAGACCAGTGAGCTGGAGCAGGAGCAGGAGCAGGAGACAAAGGGCTCCAGGTGAGGCTCCCCAAGCGCCCAGCACAGGGCCTTCCCTTCCCCCAGCATACCCAGGAAGGTAGATCCCAAGAGGTAGGAAAGAAAGCACTGGCCAGGAATCCAACAGGCTGCATTGTTCACCGAGACCTGGACCCAGCTGTTCTCAAGCTCCAAGGGAGATAGAGGTTCCAGTGCAGCTGGAGGAACTGTGGTTAGACACATTAAACAGCTCCATTTCTGAAAGTTCTTAGGAAAGGAAATGGGGAGGTGTGAAATTGCTCACTGTGGGAATTGCTCTTGCAGTACTCGGAGACTTCCCAGTATTGGGAAGAGTTAAGACTGGTGAGGGTGAAGTCAGGTATAGACATAGTATATCTCAGGAGATTTTAGAAATTCGGATCCACCTTGTTAATTTGCATATGACATTCTTTCACACCTGCAAGGAGCCTTCATGTCACATTTGCAAGGTGAAGGTGAGGCCCTTGCAGGGGATGGGGACAGGTAGAGCAGTGTCTGAGGTAGGTTTGAGCCTTTAAATGTATGCTATCTGTGGAAATGTGCATGTTGTCAGGATGCCAGGGAGAACACCCTTCCCCAGATCCACATCCCTGTGCACCTTGAGCCTGAGCAGAGACCAGCCCCAGGCACTGCCCAGGCAGAGGAATGTGTGCCCTGCATCTGCCCTGAGAACCCCTCTGTCAAGCATGAAGGACTGAACAGCACGTAGAATGCCAGAAAAGATTATGCTTCCCCATCCAGTACTTCCCTGCACTGCCCTGGCCCACTGAACCCCTGAGCTCTCCTAATGAAGGAAAAGCGAGCTGCCCTCCTGTGTGCCCCTCCTGCTCCTACTCGAAGAGTCCCTTGCCTGGTCTAATCTTCTAAGTGACTCTCCATGGGGGCAGGTTCATGGTACTGTCTGGCATGTTTTTTCCCTGCAGCCCCAGATCTAAGCGGTGCAGTAAGCTGAGTACTTGCATGCTGAGCACATACTCGCAGGACTTCAGCAAGTTTCACACATTCCCCAAAACTGCAGTTGGGGCTGGAGCACCTGGCAAGAAAAGGGATGTGTACAACAGCTTGGAGAGAGACCATCACCCTCACGTTGGCATGCCCCAGGAACCCAACTAAACTCCTCCCTCTCCTTTCTAATTTTCCTTCTTGCTTCCTTCCTATAACTTGATGCATGTGGTTTGGTTCCTCTCTGGTGGCTCTTTGGGCTGGTATTAGTGGCTTTCCTTGAGGTAGAGGATGTCTCAAACTTCAGATGGGAGGAAAGAAAGCAGGACTCACAGGCTGGAAGAGAATCACCCAGGAAAACATCAGAAAATGAGGGCTGCTTTGAGTCCCCCAGAGATTTCATGAGAGCTCCTCTGTCCTGCTTCTGAATGTGCTGATTATTTAAGGAATAAAATTATTTTTCCAAAAAGATCTAAGCTGTGGTAATTATTGCTCTGGTGTATGTCCCAGGCTTCATAGTGTCTAAGACCTATCCTTAGAAATAGCCTTAACCCTGGGGTAGCTGGACACAGGTTATGGTGGGTGGTTCCTCTAACCGAGCTCAAGCAGCAAGAGCAGGAGTCCTAGGGAGCAGGTAAGCACCTCTAGGACTTGATGCTGCAAACTCGGCTCCTCTTCCAGGTAAGACTGAGGAATTTTTTTATTTTCCTAAGAAGGGGTAGTTGGTGCCCATGACTGTGGTATCAATTTTATAGTCCTTGTGAATGGGGCTGGGTGTGGGGCCATAATTCACTCTAGTCTCATAAGCCTCTGCTTTGATTTTGAGTTAGTTTACACAGGAAAGATTGGCTGTTAATTGCTCCATAGTCCATAGCCAGTCAGCCAGAGTCACCTTTCGGTTTTCTGACACCCCTGAGAACATCTATGGGGAGTGATCATGGCATTTTCCCTAATGGCCTTGTGATTTTCTGCTCTGATCGTTGTATTTAGGAGAAACACTTAAAGTTAATTAGTGCCTTTCAGAACAGCAACTTTACCATGAAGGTCCCATGGGACTGACTCCTCTCCCAGCCTCTCACTCACAGGTCTTCTCTTATTTCTCATCCTGCAAATCAGAACCACTGCCCAGAAGAGAGCCTGTGACACTGCCACCTGTGTGACTCATCGGCTGGCAGGCTTGCTGAGCAGATCTGGGGGCATGGTGAAGAACAACTTCGTGCCCACCAATGTGGGTTCTGAAGGCTTCGGCAGGCGCCGCAGAAACCTTCAAGCCTGAGCAGCTAAATGACTCAAGAAGGTGAATGCCCTTGTATTATGGGATGGGAAGATGAATGACTGGTTATTACAGGGGTGTAGTTCACACTCTAAGCCTCCCTGAGACCATGTGGTTTAAAAAAATCCATAAGGGAAGGTACCCACACCAGTGTCTGGAAAAAGAACACTGAGTTCCAATAGCTAAAATGCTAGAATTTGGATTCATCTCTCTCTTTTTTCAGTCTCCCCTTGTAACCCTGATATCATCGGACCAAGAAAGATAGATCCTGTTTATTTAAAACACTGCTTTTTGCCATTATAATTGTGATTATTCTAGCATTTGCATTTGAAAGGTAACAACACTATCATTTTAGAGTATACATTACTATGTTATGTACCTCTGAATTAAGTGCAAAGACTTGATTTAAAAAACTGTATTTGCCCTTTGCTAGCTATATGATCATGAACTGGTCACTTAATTCTCTCCTAGCCTTAGTTTCTCCATCTGTAAACTGAGGGCTACAATAGTACCTACCTCCAAGCCTTACCATAAACAGTGAGATAATAGATGTTGAGTCTGACAATTAACCAGTAACTAAATTCTAGCTGTTATTTTCTTCCTCCTAGATCACAATGAAGCTGAACTCCTTTTAATGTGTAATGAAAACAATTTGTAGGAAAACCTCCATGGAACACAAACATATTGGCATCCTTATTGATACCGAAAACTATCTTCTTTGTTTGAAAGGAACTATTGCTAAATGTAGAGCAAGCTCAATGCAGTTACCTATTGTGCATCTTTTTAAATACTTGATTATGTAACCATAAATCTGACAGCATGTCTCACTGGCTTATTTGGTAGCAAATCTAGGCCCTGTCAGCCATCCTGTTGACACTGGTGGCTCTGCTAAACCTCAGGGGGACATGAAATCACTTCCTTTTGGGCATCTGGGGACGTAATGCTGTGCCTTGAAGAAACTATTTGTTTAAAGAAATGTCAATGCTGACATTTGTAAACTCTATCAAAATTAAAAATGTATTTTCAATGGACTCTCTGCTGCTGTTCATGCTGTTTTTCCAAGGTAGAGCTTCAGGGGCCTGTGAGCACTTTGTTGACCAAGCTGACTCACTTGGCACAAAGAAAACATGCCTGTGATGGACCCCTAGTGTCTTGTACCCTCAGTTTCAAGTGAAGCATCCCCTATTGGAATTGGAGTTCTGTGCATGTCAAAGAGAACACTTGATACTTATTTTCAGAGAGTGCCCTGGTCTCCAGCCTCAGAGGTTACCCATACACTCCTCTTTCATGCATGTTTTCCTTTACCCATCCCTGCCATTCCTCCCCATAAGGACCCCTTTGTCCACTCCTTAGCCTGCTTTAGAAACAATGACTCAGAGCCTAAAATAGTGATCACAGACTGGCCAACCTAGAAAGGTCATCAATGCCATTCAACCCAACTTATTTGTTCTGTGAGGTTTAAAAAACGTCTTACTCAAGGTCCAGCACTATTCCAGGCACTGGGAACAGAGCAATGAACTGAACAGAGCAAACAAAACTCCCTGTGCTCATGGAGCTTCCATTCTAGCTAGGGCAGATTGAGGGGGTGCATGCTATAGAATCAAGGACTCTTAGTATTGGAAGGAATCCAGAATGTCATAGAGTTTCATGTCCTCCTTATTCAAGGTAGAAATTATTCAGCATCAACAACAATAGCATCCTGTGGTACCACCAGTGACAAGCTGCTGAATATAACTCTCAAGGTGACTTGGCAGCCAGTTTCACTGGTGGTAGTCAGCTAATTAGGGTTAGTTAGTTAGTTAGTTAGCTAGCTAGCTATTGGTTAGAAAAGTCAGCTCCTTCTACCCACTGACTCTATTTTTCTCAGGACCACATAGAATTATGCACTTTTCTCTCCTTCAGTCTGTACTCAACACAGTAACCCACTGTGACTGTAATACGTAGATTACATCATGTCTGTCTTATGTTCAAAACACCCCAGTGACTCCCCATCTCATAAGCAAACACCCAAAGCATTTCAGGCCAAGTTGATCTTCCCTTTCTTTCCTCTCATCACTACTCCCATTACCTGCCTGGCCTCATCTCTTACTCTCCTACACACTGGCCCTCTTACTTATTTATTTATTTATTTTTATTTTTATTTTTGAGATGGAGTCTCACTCTGTCACCAGGCATGCACCACCATGCCCAGCTAATTTTTGTATTTTTCATAGAGACGGGGTTTCACCATGTTGGCCAGGAGAGTCTCAATTTCTTGACCTCATGCTCTGCCCACCTCAGTCTCCCAAAGTGCTGGGATTACAGGCATGAGCCACCGCACACAGCTCCCCTCTCACTATTCCTCAACTTCTACCTCCCAGCACTCAACCACCACTCATACTCTGTGAAGAACACTCTTCATCCACTGCCCTCATCTCCTCTAATTATTTCTCAAATGTCACCTGTCCTGACCATTCTTTCTAAAATTGTACCTCACCCCCACTAACAACATACCCTAGCCCTCTTCTTTGCTTAATTTTTTTATCCTTACCACTTATTACCTTCTACCTCTCCCCTATGCCATTATCCTGAGAAACTAAGAACTGATTAGTTTTTGTTCAAAACATGGTGACAACATTAGACATTTCAGAAAATATGCAGCTGAATAGATTTTTTTAAATTGATTTCTTATCATTGACACTTAACCCATTCGGAATGGCCAACAATGTTGCACATTTTGATTATATATTTTGCTTTGGAGTTGAGAATATTTCAGCAGCACATTTGAGGGCGTTTGGCATAATTTCCACATGGTAAAATTTTACCTTTGGAATTATGCCTAAGAATTGATCCCTTGTTTTGGAATTAGAGCCCTGTGCATGTCAAAGAGAAAAACTGAGATTTATTTTCAGAGGGTGCCCTGGTCTCCAGCCTCAGAGGTTATCCATGTACTCCTCCTTCATGCAGGTTTGCCTTTACCCATCCTGCCTTTCCTCCCCATAAGGACCCTTATCTAATCCTAATTTCCCCTCAAAGGACCTGTTGCCAATCAACAAATTTAAATCTTCATATTTGAGGTTATAGCCTCTTTTTCATTCTGGAAGTAGTGTAACAGTATTCTCTTTTCTTTATTCACTTAAACAGTTTTTATTTTATTGAAGTTCCCAAAGTTTATTTATTTATTTAACTTCACTATATTTCTGGCTTCCAGTTTACTAATTTCTTCCACACCCTTTTACCCAATTATTGTTCAAAATTTTGTTTAGCTACTGATATGGTTTGGCTTTGTGTCCCCACCCAAATCTCATCTTGAACTGTAATCCCATAATGGTAGAATAAGCTAAGACATTGGGGGACTGTTAGAAAGGCACAACTGGGTTTTGAAATGTGAGGATGTGAGATTTGGGAGGGGCTGGGGATGGAATAATATGGTATGGCTGTGTCCCTACCTGAATCTCATCTTGAATTGTAATCCCATAATCCCCACACATTGTGGGAGGGACTCGGTGGGAGGTAATTGAATTACGGGGGCATTTACCTCCATGCTCCTCTTGTGATAGTGAGTTCTCATGAGATCTGATGGTTTTATAAAGGGCTTTTCCCCCTTTGCTTGGCACTTCTCTCTTCTGCCACCACGTGAAGCAAGATGTGTTTATTTCTCTTTCCACCATGATTGTAAGATTTCTGAGTCCTCCTCAGCCATATAGAACTGTGAGTCAATTAAACCTCTTTTCTTTATAAGTTATCCAGTCTCAGGCAGTTATTTATGGTAGCATGAGAATTGACTAATACAGCTGGCCTCTTTCTAGATTTTTTAGTTGAACTACAAAATTGCTTATATTCTCCTTTTCTTGAATACTTATATATGAGCATTTTTCTCCATGCCTACTGATGCCATCCTGATCCAAGTCTCCATCACGTCTTACCTGTATTTTTATAGTAAGCTCTCAACTGATCCCCCTGTTTTTACGCTTTTTGCTATATGAACTATTCTGGAGTGATTCTTTTAAATCATAATTCATATCATTTCTATTCTCTGCTCAAAACCTTTCAAACCTCCCCAATCCACTGAGTAAAAGTTTCTTATAATAATCTAAGAAGCACTACCTGATCTCACTTCACCATCATTTATTTGCCCTCTCTTCTTGTCAGTTAACCCATTGCTTGCTCTAATTCCAGCTTCCTGAAAGTCTTTGCACTCAGTATTTTCTGGGCCTGGAACATTGTTTCCTAAATGTCCGCATAACTGAATCTCTCATTTCCTTCAGAACTCTGCCAAAACTTCACTTTCTCAAAGAAAGCTTTTCTGACCACCATATACAAAATAGCATTTCTTCTCTGTTCACTCTCTACCCACTGTATCAAGATTTGTTGTTATTCATAGAACTTATTACTTCCAAAATATTATATACAAATACAACGGTTTTTCTTTTTGTCTGTGTCCTTCCTCTGGCATGTAACTCTATGAGGAAAGTTACATATATCTTGGGCTATACCTGTAGAGCCTAGAAAAATTCATAGAGCAATTAGGTCCTCAATAAATATTTGTTAAGTTAAAAAGTAAATTATGAAACTATATAATTTTGTTCTCTGAGTTAATCTTTAACAATATGCCATGCTTTGAGACATAAAGGTCTCATTTTCAAATTACTCTATAATTTTTGTTTTGACTTTCACTTTGACTCAAGAACTATTTAGAATAATATTTAAAATTTTAAAATAGCGTTTAGAATTATACTTTAGTTATTCAGTTCTAAGTTTTTTGCACTGGGGTTTGATAAAGTAATCTCTATAATTTTTTACTTGGGAAATTTATTGAGATTTTCTTTTTGTTGTTGTTATTGGTGGTGGTGGTGTATGTGTGCATTTGTGTTTTAGACAGGGTCTCAATCTATTGCCCACCGCAGAGTGCAATGGTATCATCATGGCTCACTGCAGCCCTGACTTCCTGGGCTCAAATGATCCTCCTGCCTCAGCCTCCCAAGTAGCTAAGATTACAGGCACGAAGCACTGTGTCCAGTGAGATTTTCTACAATTCTTATAATGTGACTTTTTCCTGTGAATGTTTTAAAGATACAATGAAAAAAGTATGTTTCCTGTGGTAAAAATTAACATCTATATCTATCTACATATATATGTGATTAAAGTAATTAATTATATTATTTATAATGTTATTTTTGCCTAGGTAGTTGATCTTGAAAAAACTAAGAGAAGGTAATAAAGTTTCTAAGTAGTATTTTGTTTCTGTGAATTATCCCTTGCATTGAAAAAAAATTTATATCACGTATTTCTCTTTTCCTCTTACTTTTAAAGTCAACTATCATAGGTAAAAATTAAGTCACATAAAATTATATTTTTAATTATATTTCAATGAGTTTTGCAAGAAAATGTGTACCATATAGTCCATGTAACTATCACCACAAGAAAAGTATCAAATATTTCCATTGTTCAAGAATATTCTTCATGCCACTTTGAAGTCAAGTTCTCCTAAACCTCTGTTCTATGAAATCAGTGACCTGATTTCCATCACTGTGGAGTAACTTTTACATAGATAGATAGAAAGATGGATTAGATAAGTAGATTATAGACAGATAGATAGATACATACATACATAGATAAATAGAATGTATTCTCTTGTATCTAGCTCCTTTCACTCACATGATGTTCATGAGACTTATTTATATTGTTGCATGTATCATTATATAATTACTTGCTGGATTAACCAAGTACCAGTTCTCAAGGATTAGAGGAAGAGAGTTAAGTAGTATTTCACTGTTAGATGAATACTTAAAATGTTCCTAGGTTTGTTGGATGAATACTTAAAACATTCCTAGGTTTGGTTTATTATAAATGATACTCTTATGAGCATTTATGTACTAGTCTTTCTAGTTGAGTTCTCTTGGATAAATATCTAGAAGTAGTATGGTAAACATGCATATAACTAAACTGTTTTCAAATGGCTATGCCATTTTACCCTCCCAGCAGAACCATGTGGTCATTCAACTTGCTCTACACACCCTTGCAAATAATTGGTATTTTCAAGTCTTTT